CAAAGGAGCAAAGCTTCCTTTCCAACAGAGAAAACAGAAAAGAGATTCTCCTAATAAAATGAATAATAGAGGTAGAAAAGCATCCAAATCTCCCTAAAATCTCTCAAGAACTTCTTTCAAAAAAATTTTTAACAAACCCTAAGCCACAGAGGATGAAAAGAACAAGAATGAATTTTTGAAGAGATTTTGATAGCACCTCCCTACTTTCAAAATTTCGGCTCGTGTGAGGGGAGAGGAGGAGAAAGATTTAAAACAAGATGAAATGCGACCTGGGGCAGAGAAAGGGTCGGCCAGGTGGAACATCGCAGTTGGGGGAACGTTCGGTCGAGCAGAGCTCGAGGAGACGAGCCGCGTGCGCAATCAGCGGCGAAATGCCGCGTGAGATGAGGCGAGGAAGACGATTTCAGCGGCCAGGGGTTCGACCGTCGAGCGGTCGCGGGAGCTAGGGCACGGGCGAAGGGCGATCACGGGACCGAGCCGGGCACGGGCGAAGGAGGATTTAATCGTGCAAGGAGAAAGGGAAATATATATTTAGGGTTTTATAAATATTATATAATTAAAAAGAATAAAGATACTTAATTAAATTTTTTTTTAAAGTATATAAAAAAAAATTTTGATTTGCACATTTTAATTTGTGTGAAATAATTGCAAATTGGACATCCCTTTTAAGTATTTTCGACATTTCGGACGTTCCGGCGCAGCCCGATTCGCCGTCGGAAGTCGTTTTGACGAATTCATCGATTTGCGTGTCAATTTTCTCGTGCCAAAAATATGGCAATATGGGTGTCCTTTCCTACCAAAATGGGTATCCCGGACGCGTTGGCGCAGTCCAATTTGTCGTCGAATGTCATCCGGAAAAGTTCGCATTTTCACCCGTCCTTTGGGCTTAATTGAAGTCCAATTTCGTGCAATTTCGGGAACTTTGTGTATTTGATGTGTGTATGTGACGAAAAAGGTCGTGACGATGTCTTCCTAAGGCTTGAAGTCCTATTGGGAACTTTTCCTCTGAGTCTTCACAAAATAGCCCATAACCGCTCGTTCATAAGAAGATGGTTTTGTGTCATAAATGTTAGACATCAAAGAAAAAAAAGAAGTGGCTAGAATTTCTAAAAGGGTGAGTCTCAATTCTAGTTTTCTAGGATGGTCAGTAGGAATTTCTAGAGCTAGAATCTAGGCTCTAAAGAAGAGAAGACAAGACCTCACAAAAAAGAGGTCAACAAGGTACTGTGGAAAAAGTAGGGCAATAGGGAAACAGAAGTATGATAAGATAAATGTCTCAGAGGAGTCGAGATACAGTCAGCGGACCCTTGGAGATGATCACCACCTTGGACGTGGGACAGCCAGAGCACTACCTCGATGTCGGATACAACCCTCGAAGGGAAAAACTAGGATAAAACCTGAATTAGGATATCAAAAACAAGACCCTCAACTCTAAACTTATTATCCCATATTTATAAAGAGGCTGGACTTATTTTAGATAATGAAAATAAGGATTAAGAAAAATATAATCATGCTTTCATATTTTAGGAAATGGTTTAAAATAATAAGGGAGAATAAAAAAAAACATGATTTCAGATTTTACGAAATGTTTAAAGTAGGAAAGGATTTAAAATAAGACATGAGTTTAAAATAAGAAATGAGAATAAAAATCAGATTTGAGTTTTAAGAAAGGTTTTAAAATAGGAAAGTGTTAGGAAGGAAAAGAAGTAAGAAAGAAATGAAAGAAAGGAGTAAAAAGGGAAAAGACGGAAAAGGGATGGGAGGAAAAAGGGAAATGATGGATAATGGAAAGGGGGGGAAGAGGAATGAGGAAAACCTCCATGTCACATTACTTCTATCATTAACAAAATAGCATTGCATTATTCCAAACTAAAAATAGAAATCATTACTGTTACCCTCAATAAATAGCATAGCATGATCCCAAAAAGCATTAACTTTAACCTTCATGACCAACAATTCAATTAAAGAATCTGAATTGCAATTATGAAGAGAATTTTTTATGAGAGTGCAATCCAAAGACTCGATCAAATTTTGGGACGAGAAACCCAGGCTTTAAAAACAAGATGACATTTAAATTATGTACAAAATCTGAAACACAAAAGTAAAGCAAATACAAAAATATAAGTAAATTGTTCGATCAAGAGTCCATCTAAATTAAAAAATTCAAAATCATAGCATTTCATTTTTATATGAGCTTACATGAGGCTAAAAACTGGCAAAATTCAGGATAACAGTGAAAAACTAAGCCCATTGTTTCAAGAAACTTAGCATTATTCTTCACCCAAATAAAGAAAAGAAAAAAGTAGGGATCTTGATTTGCAAATTTAACGCATAAGATAAAAATATAACAACGAAATGCAGAAAAGATTAGTACAACCAAAGCAATCAACTCCAGGGATTTTCCCATATCCTTGTAATCATCACTGACTCCCAATCATCGTTGTCCAGGTAGCAGCACTTTGAAGCCTTCTTCTGCGTATTCAAAATGCTGCTACTGCTAAGCAACTCATTCTCAACAACTTAATTATCAAGTGTCAAGAAAATCAAAGCTGTCAGGCTATCTCTTGCTACTCAGTGGAAAAATTTTTTCATATTTTTGAAGAAAATATGAAAATCTAATGGAAGTTTCAATTTAAAAAAGACCACCAGTCTTTAAAATTTTGGAATTGGAAGCAATAAGCTTAAGCCAAGATTAAATCTTTCACAAATAGACCACATCAACAAACATAAATACCCATGTCTATCAGCATAAAGAGATTTGTAAGATTATAATTGAGTTTGAGCATTTCAATGATCAGTTTACTAAGAATCAAAATTGAGAAGAATACCAAATTACTAAAGCAAAAAATTCACAATATACCTTCTTTTTTAAAGCACGGATTCTCTTATCAACATCTGTGCCTGAACAATCTTCATATTTTGAACTATCCAATGTTTCTTTTGATAGGGAAATAGATATATTAGTTATCCCCGCAGTAACCGATTCTACAGCAGCTTGCCTATCATGATAAGCTGCAGAAGCCTCATCAGCTATTCTATCTACAGCTTCGTCCAAGTCCAAGTTCTTCCCCTTATCTGCCTCAGCAAGTGCCGCCTGCAAACTATTCTTTCTGTTCAGACCTCAACATAAAGGTAAGCAGATATGAAAAAGGAAAAGACAGCTTGCGGAAATGTATTATTTTATATTTCCTCATGTGTCTCACATGTCCATGTGTGCATGGAGGAATTGATTGTACGAGAACATTTATGTGCTGCATTGCTAGTTCTTGGCTTAAGATAACATGACAATAGAATACCATTAATCATTAAAATGATGGAAATATAAAATTATTTTCAAATTTAAACAAAACATAGACACAAAATACACATTATTTACTTACAAATTTCTACCATTTCTATCTTCTAAATATAAATGTATCAGGCTAGTCATCAAGTATTTCGTATCACATGACTGCAGCTAATAGCATCCCAGATTTTCTAAAATGAAAAATCAAATAACAATCTACGAAAACATTGGCATAAATGAAACAAATTGATGAATTGTTTGATGATTTGAAATTAATGGGAAATGGCCCTAAACAACTGCTTACATTACAAAGTAAACCTGAAGCTTCAGCATATTTACATAAAGAAGATGATGCTACGAAGATGGTTATAAGTTTTAAAACAACGATGAAGACAATTGTGATTCAAAATAAGCACTTTCAGAGTGTTTAACCAGAACAAAAACAAAATCATGAGGCATTCCAGTTCCTTTTCTGGGAGTGAAGATCACTTCTATGGAGTTGATTAAAACAAGGCTACATTAGAGAATCAGCAAAGCTACACCAATGCACAACCAAAGGTTACACAAGCGGGCAGGACTAAAAAAAGGTACTGATTCTTGGATGGTATTGGGCTCCCGTTGAAGTTTTGTTGACCCTATTTGCATGGAAAAGGTCTCCTTTGACAGCTGCATAATCTCCAATCAAATCGATCCAATGATAGCTATTAGCCGAGAATAGAGTAAGGAGTTCAGATATTTATCATGGACTTTATTTTATTTCAGTTTATTTTATATGTAGCACAAACTTCTTATGTATTTAAATTTCTCACACCTAAGTTTTAATATTTGTAAACAAAGCACCTTGGTACTTTAAACTTATGAAAGATTTATTTCACTTTTAAAAAGTGGTAACAAAGCACCTTGGTACTTTAAACTTATGCAAGATTTATTTCACTTTTAAAAAGTGGTAACAAAGCACCTTGGTTTCACTTTTAAAAAGTGGTAACGTTTAAAAAGTGGTAACGGTGCTATTTTTTATGTGAAATTAAAGATTTGAGTGCTATGTGTGTCAATATGAAAGTTTGTGTGTGAGATACGTAAAATAAAAAAGAATTATGCGCTATGTATGTAAATGCCTAAAAACATAAACAAAGAAAGTAAAATTCTTTCTTCATACTTTGATGCTTTACAAGATACATCTACTTATAGGAATACCAACTCCTAAATAAAGAAATTACCTAGTTGCTTATATCTTAAATAAAGAAATTAACTAATTGCTTACAGCTATTTCCTATTATATTACATAGCTAATTATGTAAAGATTTGTACAGCTACACAATATTCTATAAAAGGAAAAAACATTAATGTTGTAAATCAAATTGGATTTTCAACACTTCCCCTCAAGTTGGCATGAAAATATCCTTTAGAGGCAACTTGCACACTAAACTGTCGAACTGTCTCTTGTGAAAACCTTTCGTTAGAATATTTGCAGCTTGGTTGTGGGACACCATGCAAATATCCCATTTGTCAATTTTTTCTTTGATGAAGTGTGTGTCTATCTCTACGTGCTTTGTTTGATCATGAAGGACAGGATTGTGGGCGATTGCGCTTGCAAACTTATTATCACAATACACATTCATTGGTGGTTAACTATGAATTTTTAACTCCTTAAAAATTCTTCTAATCAATAGAACTTCACATATCCCATGAGTCACAGATCTGAATTAAGCTTCAGCGCTGCTTCTTGTCACGACAGCTTGATTCTTACTCCTCCATGTTACTAAGTTTCCTCCTAGAAGCATACAGTACCCTGAGGTTGACCTTCTATCTGTAATACTTCCAACCCAATATGCGTCTGTAAATGCTTCTATCTATAAGCGCTCATTTTTCTTGAACAGTAGTCCTCTTCTAGGCGTTCCTTTCAAATATTTAAGGAACTGATACACAGTCTCCAAGTGATGAGCGTTTGGAGAGTGCATAAGCTAACTTACCATACTAACAGCAAAAGCTATATCAGGACGAGTGTGTGAAAGGTAGATTAGCCTTCCCACCAGTCTTTGATATTGTTCTTTATTAACACTATCTATTTCATTTGTCATTTGTAACTTTTTATTTGGTTCAATCGAAGGTCAGCTGCTTTGCATCCAAGCATTCTGGTTTCACTGAGCAAGTCGAGCACATACTTTCGTTGATTAATAGAAACCCCCTCCTTTGATCTGGAAAATTCAATACCGAGAAAGTACTTTATCGGCCCCAGATTTTTAATCTCAAATTCTGTGGTCAATCTTTCTTCTAATATCTCAATTTCCCTAGCATCATCTCCTGAAAGGATAATATCATCTACATAGACAATAAGTATAGCAAGTTTACCAGTTTCTGAATGTTTGTTGAACATAGTATATTAGCTTGACTCTGAGTATATCATTCTTTTTAATCACCTTTCCGAACTTCTCAAACCAAGAGCGAGGTTCAGCCTATACAAGGATTTCTTCAATCTGCACACCTTGTCTTCTCCAAACTCCTTCTCAAACCCTGGTGGAAGATCCATGAATACCTCCTCTAATTCACCGTTTAAAAAGGCGTTTTTAACGTCGAGTTGATCTAATAATCAATCACCGTTTGCTGCTATGGACAGTAGAACACGAATAAAATTTATCTTGGCTACCGGAGCAAATGTCTTCTGATAGTCAATTCCTTAAGTCTGAATGAATACTTTCGCTACCAATCGTGCTTTATATCTTTCGACGTTCCCATCAGCTTTGACTTTAACATTGAAAACCCATTTACACCCAACAATAGACTGTTTTCCCAGTCTCTTGGCAAAGTAACAATTTCCCAGTCTCCATTTTTTAACAGAGCATTCATCGCTTCCTTTACTGTTATTCTCCAATTCGGATTATTAAGTGCTTCCTATATTGTTCTGAGTTCAGACGGATTAGAAATTTTTGACAAAAAAACTTGATGTTTGTGTGAGATTGTTTTGTATGATAGATATTTTGTAATCGGATGTTTGGTGGTATAAGAACATGTTCCTTTTCTAAAGGTTTTAGGAAGATTCAGATTCATAACCTCTGAATCTTGAGCTTCTGTTGATGAAAAAATAAGGTCATGATTGGAAATTACCTATGTTTCTTAAGGACCATCATTCGATTCTTCAGATTGAGAGAACAAAAGATTCAATTTAAACATTTTTCCTTTTATGGAGACTTTTCCTAAAATAAACCAGATGTTTATTATTCTGCAGTATTTCTCCTTCTATGTTAGACAAAATAATTTTTGGTGCCTTTTGACTAGGATTCTCCTGGTTTCATTTTTATTAAGAATTTCAGGTGTATTTGGTGTTAGAATAATTCTTGGTAGTGGAACAGAAATGTGTCAAAAATCATCTTCTTCATCTGTATTATATTCCCCTTAAAGTGGATTTTTGTGAAAGAAATAAATTTTTTCCATGAAGATCACATCCATACTAATGTAAGTTTTTCTTGTGACAGGGTTAAAACATTTGTAACTCCTTTTGTTTAAAGTCTATCCAAGAAAAATACATTTTTCAGATTTTAGATCTAATTTTGAACGAAATTTATTTGGAATATGAACAAAATATGTGCATCCAAAAATTTTAAAGGAATATTTGAAGACATTCGTAGAATTAAAAAATTGTTTGTCAGCTTGTTTAGAGGAGTTGTATATTGTAACACTCGATTGGACATTCGATTTATTAAATGAGATATTGTTAAAATGGTGTCCCTCCATAAATATTTAGGAACGTTTATTGAAAACATAATAGCCCGAGCAACCTCAAGTAAATGCTTATTTTTCTTTTAGCAATTTAATTTTGTTGTAGAGTGTCATGACATGTGAATTGATGGATTATGTCTTTCTTTATTAAAAACTCCCCTAAACATTCATTAAAGTATTCAATTCCATTGTCTGTTCTAAGGATGCATAATTTTGTTTCAAATTGAGTTTCAATCATGTTGTAAAAATTTTGAAAGATTTTTTCAACTTCTGGTTTCTCGCTTATGAGATAAACCTAACATATTCTGGTGTGATCAACAATAAAAGTCACAAAACCCCTTTTTCCAAATAATGTTTTGATTTTTTAAGATCCTCAAACATCAATATGGATCATGAAAAAAGGTTTTGAAGGATAGTATGGTTTTAGAGCAAAATTTATGTGAAAACTTTTTGTCAAATAACAAGTTTCACATTGAAATAAGGTACAATTAACACCCTTAAACATATGAGAAAATAGATGTCTTAAATAATAAAAACTTAGGTGGCCTAGTCTAAGATGTTATTCCATTATTTTTTCTAATGTAGGGTTCGAACTTATATTGTTGTAGCTTGAACTTTTTTATTACTAGGAATAGTGTCTATAAAGTAGTAAAGTCCTATCTCTTTAGCTCTCCCAATCATCATCTCGAACTTCTGGTCCTGAAAGACACAAGAAGATTCACAAAAAATTACACGACAGTTAAAATATTTTGAAAGTTTGTTGATAGATAGAAGGTTACATTTGAGTTTTAAAATATGAAGTGCAGATTTAAGACCTATAATCTTGGACAGGTTAATGTTTCCTCTTCCAGCAATAGAAGAGAAACTACCGTATGCAATACGAACCATTTCATGGCCAGAACATCGGTTATATGAATAAACTAAATGATGTAAATTTGTCATATGATCAGAAGTTCCAGGATCAACAATCCAAGGGTTTAATTTTCTAACTACATGTACCAGGGAACAATTTGGAGTACCAGTAGCCAAATTAGGTTTAGCAGATTCAGGAGTTGATCGATTTGCTCCTTACTAAATGGGCTGATATGTTAAGC